GCCGTCCGCACGCCGTCCCGCCTCGGACGCGCTGCACGCCGTTGGGCGGGGCTGCGCAGGGGGGCGGGCCGGAAGCGCTCGCCGCGCGTGTCTGCGGCCCATTGGTCGCGATGGACGTCGCTCACGCCCAAAGCCAATGAGAGGCGGCCGGGTAGAGGGTACGGGTTTGGTTTTTTTCCACGAGGGCGGGCTTGGGGTCCCAGCGCGCGCCGTGGGCGTTCCCTGGGGTCCTGTCTTCGTCGGGGTTTCTGGCTTCTCTAGCTTTCTTATTCCCTCGGCCCTTTAACGTGACCTTTTCCAGTTCCCTCTCCTCCTTGCCCCTTTCTTTTCTTCGTGGTCCTGGAGATTGAACTTTGTGATTTTCAGTTTGGGACGGGCTCTCGCCGAGTCCCTAAACTGCCCAGTCCAGGTGTGAACCTGAGACCCTCCTGCCTCACCCTCCAGCACCACACCTGGCTCTTCCCTCATCCGCTATCCCGCGGGGCGCAGAACAAGTATAGGCCTTTGGCGTGTTTGTAGTCCTATTAAACGACATATTAATCACTCGTGTGCCGCCAGAAATCTCTTGCTAAACACCTTAAGAAACTTTTTTTGCCGGGCCTGGTGGCGCACTCCTGTAATCCTAGCACTTCGGGGAGTGCTGAGGCAGGATTTTTTTTTTTTTTTTCTTTGTCTTTCTGAGACAGGGTCTTGCTATGCAGTTCAGGCTCCCCTTGAACTCACAGTGACACTCCTGCCTCAGCCTCCCCAGGCGGGATTACAGGCTTGACCCACTACACCCGGCTTTAAGCAATGTCATTTGTGAGTCTTTATTACTTTCCAAATTTCCTCCTCCAGGACCTTGAACACTCACGACCTTGGTCTCTGCAGAACCTGAAGTTTAAACTGTAGGATTCTCCCTTCGCAGGCCTCCCTTCTTGCCCCTGGGGGTGGAGGTACTAGCAGTGCCTTCACCTGGACGAAGTAAGATCTGCAAAAGTCAACTTGAATTGACTATGTAGCCCAAGCTGGCCTCAATCCTCCTGCCTCAGCCTCCTGAGTGCTGGGATTACACTTGTGCACCCCTCACAGGCTCAGAAGTAAGCTATTTTCAGGCTCACAGGTGAAGCTCTCTGCTCTGTGCCTGCTTCTGTGTGGTGTCGTTCTCTGCAGTACTCAGGCACACAGCAGCTGTGAATTGGAGGGTGTTGGAGGGCTTCCTGGAGGGTGTGGTCTTAGAGGGCATTTGGAAGATCTGTCAGGTTCAGGGCTGGTCCTGTCAGCCACAGGCGTATGGCACCCAGCAATCACTGAATTACTCAATGACCCTGAGCACAGCTGTTCTAGGGTGT